ATATACTCACATAGAAAATTTTTCGTGTGAGAATTTGATATTGTATATGGATTTTTGACTTCATATTATTGTTTAAAATTTTGGAAGTTTTAAAGTTACGTTCATTTTGAAAAGTAAAAATATATGTAACTCTACTTTGTTAAGATATGCCAAAAAATTATACAACTTCTTTCTTAGAAAAATTGTGCCAAGAAATTGAGTTTTTATGTAGGGAAAGTGACATAAATTATTTTGGATCTTTGCAACCCCAAGTCAAGTAGAAAAATTGTGCCAACTCCAAGTCAAAATCTGGAGCAATCCAATAAACATAGAGATAACCAATTGCAGGGACTTGTGCAAGAGAAGGATCAGCTACTGATGACTTTACAAGAGGATAAATATAATCTTGAGAAGCAGATTTTGCAGGCACAGCAAGAGACCAATGTTAAGGAGATTGCAAGATCTACTTTGGCGAAGGAGATTGAGGACATTATGCAAAAGAAGGTTAGTGATGATAGCAACAACATCCTTTCAAATTCGCCATTACAGAAGATGGTCAAAGCTATTCGATTTCTGTGGATTCGTTCGATCTTAGCACCAAAAGGTGATATTACCGGTGATGAATTAGGTACCTTTATGGGTGCCCTAGTAGCAGTAACTTCATTTGTCGTTAGCTATTCAAACAAAGATGGGAGGAAGATGTTCTTAAGCGCATGTGTGTCTCTATTGGGAGTGTTGTGTGGGAAAGTTTTCAACAACCTACTGACGTACATCTCAATGGTAAGCTCTCAAACTCAAGCTACAATTTAATGTTAACATGTTTATAACCATTATAACTTTTTATAACATAGGACAAAGACGCTACCATCGGATCGATACTCCGATAGTAGCGTCTTTGTGGGGTTTTATGCGTTACAAAGATAATCCGAGGTCTGTAATTTCATTACTCCCAAGATGCTGCCAATGCTCTCTTATGTCTGCTACCATGAGGTGACACGCCCCTGACACAATAAAATCACTTATTTTGATTCTTTTTAATGAACATTTAATAATTTGTCAACAAAGGCTCTTGACATGTATGTTCATAATGAATGTTGTTGTTGTTGTTATACTCACATAAAAAAATTTCCGTGTGAGAATTTGATATTGTATATTGATTTTTGACTTCATATCATTTTTAAAAAATTTGGAGGTTTTAAAGTTACGTTCATTTTGAAAAGTAAAAATATATGTAAATCTACTTTGTTAAGATATGCCAAAAAATTACACAACTTCTTTCTTAGAAAAATTGTGCCAAGAAATTAAGTTTTTATGTAGGAAAAGTGACATAAATTATTTTGGATCTTTGCAACTCCAAGTCAAGTACAAAAATTGTGCTAAAAATCAATGTAGTTAGTAAATGAGGACTAAATTCCTACAAACAACGTTGCAGTGATTAGCACTATAAATATAATTATTTTGGATCTTTGCAACCCCAAGTCAAGTATAACTTTTTTGAGGATTGAGTTTCTTAGAAACTCATGTCAAGGAAAACTTCTTTGAAATTTTCCTTAACTTGGGGGAATATTTTTTTCAGTGATTGTACAAATTGACTATGTTCTAATACATTCTGGTTAATTTTTTTTTTTTTTGCAAAATCTAATTTGCTCACATGGTTTTGCATTTAAAAAAAATGAGAAAAAAATTAAATTACAATTTCTTGATCTTCTTTCTATGTTGTTTAATAACCATCATCATTTTACCAAAAAAAAAACAGAAGATTAAATAACAGTTGAAACTTATGACTACAATGATTCCCAAAACACTCGAAAAGAAAAAACAAAAACAAAAGCATGGAATCTTGACCAAATAAGAGATGCGAGCATACTAAAGGGGATACATGATGAATTTGATGAAGATGATACATGTTTTTTACTCACAAACTAACATGAAAATTATAAGTTAAAACCTGAGTTAACCCTTTAAACATGAAATTAGAGGTAATAATTGTTTTTTCTTTTACCAAGACGATGGTGTTGTATTTATGTCAACCCAAATTATAAATTTGATATCTCAAAATGCAAAATCACCTAAGAACCTAATCGTGATATTCATACTGTATATGATGGATCAAGACAAGAAAATCACAGAGATTACCGATGAAAATTGAAAATAATCGTTCAAAATCTACACAGCTAATCATACTCATGATAAGAACATTTCTGATCAAATTTGAAAATAATCCGATTGAAAGAAAACTCATGATATAATGGGCCTTTATCTTAAGATATATATAACGCTTTATATGGGTCTTAAAGATATATCAGAAAAGCCCATCTTTATACAAACAAATACTCCGACACATCTCCTCGACGGA